AACCGATCGGGCTGAGACTTTGCATGCATAAAACTACTATGACGTAGGCACCCCTAAGAATGAATTTTGATAAATTCCAGCCCTAAGGGGATAAATAATGCGAGCGAAGCCGCGGCCAGAAGCTAGTAAGAATAATAAATAATAATGTTACCATAATAAATCTACTAAACTGTTACCGATCGTCGATGCGTCATGTCACGACTCATCAGACAAATATAAAAGCACCTATAATCTGTACTACGCTGAATCATTGTTACACGTGTTGATTGTACGCTTATCTCTACATAGTATAAAATAAAGTCGCTGTCGCTGTCTGTCCGTCCCTATGTATGCTTAAATCTTTAAAACTACGCAACGGATTTTGAAGCGATTTTTTTTATTCAAGAGGAAGGTTTATATATATAATACATGTACACCAGTGCGAAGCCGGGGTGTGTAGCTAGTTTCGATTAAATAATTACGAGTCTATTCAGAGTATTTTTAACTTTTACCCCAAAGCTGTAATTTCATTGCTATTTCTTACCCTTCAAAGGGAAATTTATTATTAGTGCCTTCTATATAATACTGTATTCTTGTTCCCAGAACTACTCTAATATTCTATTTTATAATCTGTCCCACACAATGTTTTGAGATGCGGCAGTCTGTTTTATAAGCAACTTACCTCTGGGGCACTGTTGGCATTTACATTTTCTAGAATACTAGCTCTTAGAGGGTAGGGGATTGTTAGTAATGTGGATTGATAACCCCATTGCTAGCAATGTACCATGTCAGGTCGACATCCACGCGGTTCCCCCTGGAAACCATCGTGTTAAATTCCTGGTGAATTTGTCACGGTGGGCTAACTGACCTGACCTCATGCTCATCTTATCATCCTCCACTGGTGCCCCGCCAGCGTAAACCGTTAGCGCAGGCGGCAGCAGCATTCCATTATCATCCATAAAAATAAAAAAATTGTTGTGTTGGACCTCGGACAAAGAATTAGTCTATTATTTAAAGAGGGAACGCTGCCAGTATCTTCGGAACGTCATCATATTATTTTTTTTTTTTAAGCTTTTTAATTTTAGGTTCTTAGTTGTACAATTAGGTTATGTAAATACTAGTAATAAATTAATATCGATATATATTTAAATTTATATTTTATAAAATATATATTTAATATTTAAAATATACAAATTAATGTTGCAATTTTCGTAAAAAGGGCTACAAAGTTATTGCTTCACGTATTAAATTTACATGTACTTTTAGTATATATATACTTTTTATTACATTTTTTTTTATTGATTACATTGACAGCCTCAGTGGTCTAGTGGTTTAGCACACCGCTTTACTATCCAATGGTGGGTTTGATTCCTCGCACAGTACGAACATTTGTATTCATGAGTATAATGGTTTGTATCAGTCTGGGTGTTTTCTATGTACCTATAATATCTATGTATTTACGAAAAAAAAATTACCTATGTACTTGTATCAGTTGTCTAGTACCCGTAATACAAGCTTTAGCTAGCTTAACTTGGGACTAGATGGCGCTGTGTGAATTGTCCTGAGATTCTTTATTTATTCTCTATATGGACTATAAGTGTGCGAAATCCGAAAAAAATAATCTTTATTCAAATAAACTTAATACAAGCACTTTTGAACAGTCAAGTTTTTTATTCTACCGCTCATTCGGAATGCAGACTCATCAGAAGATCAATGAGCAAGAAACTTGTGTGTTTGTTGTGAAACTCTTTTAAATAAATATTAATTTACTGATATTTAATTAACAACAAGGATTAGGCATGCGACAATCAACATAGAAACCATAATTTGAATTAAATAAAATAGTAGCTACAGTTTTTAGTTAATCTTATTAATATTATAAACACGATTATGAGTTTAGATGCATGTTAGTTACTATTTCACGCAAAAATTATCGAACGCATTTTGATGTAACTTTATATTAATATAGCTTATACATCAGAATAACATATAGGCTATAAATTTCATGCGAGTGAAACCACGGGCACATCTAGTTCTATATTATATAATATAATACAAATTTTATATAATATTGGACCTAACGTTATGCTTGCATTGAAAACTTTTGTTGCGAACACCGGGGAACTAAAATATAACAATAAATAAGTCCCAAAGCTAAACAAATGTGTATAAGTTTGGTGGTTATATCGCTAGTAGTTGGCTTCCCGGCTCGTCTCGGAATTGGGACCCGAAGTTCGCTTCCGTATCTCGTTATCATGCTAATGTACTCTCGGGGAATGTACATTATTGTGTTGTTACTGCACCCCCCAGAGACCCGCCGGTTGGTTTTGGATAATTCGATGTATTAACATACTAATATGACTGCTTTGTGATTTGTTGAGATGAATGTGTGGTGTGACAAGAATGGAGAAGATAAAGAATGAATACATTAGAGGAAGTATGAAAGTGACGCCGGTGCCGGAGATGTTGAAGAGTAATCGTCTATCGTGGTATGGACATGTAATGCGAATACAAATGTTTGCGCCGTGCGAGGAATCGAACCCGCGACCATCGGTCGTAAAGCGGTGTGCTAGACCACCGAAATAGATTTAGTCACGAAAATACACCTAGGCTATTTCATCATCATCATCAACATCTGCTGCTTCCTTATCCCATCATTTATTATCTCAAAAATGCAGCCAAACTCAAGATAAAAAGCTAGTTGTTTAGATTAGATACATAGATAGATAAATGATTTATTCACCAATTATAAACACATAGCATACATGAGATACAGAAATATCAATTTTACAATATAAAAAATGGACGTGGCTTTTTATTTCGCAAAGATGAAGAGACAACTCAGCTTAAAGCTACAGATAAATCTGCATTCTGTTGGCTCTTATAATATATATATGTATATATGTAGACTTCGAGCTCTTTACTACATACAATAGATCTCAGATATCAGATAGAAAGTACTTACGATATACACAAACATACCTTCGCAATTGTAATCCTTGCTGGGACAGCCAGAGGCGTCAGCAATTGTAGATGTTTTTTCATCACGAATTCTTTTCTTTGAGTATGTGTACCTACCAATATCTTGAAGGCAACAAATTAAGAAGCATTTAGTTATAAAGAGTCTAATTTCTTCCGCAGTTAATATAGTTTCGCGTTTGTGGAGCAATATTTTAAACTGCGCCATTAATAACCAACGCTCAGGATTTAGTTCCACCCAGTCATTAAAGAGTTTAGCTATTTCTTTATGGTGCCCACTCCGTTTTAATACGCCAGTCCACTGTTTAATTAAGCCAGCGAGTGTTACGTAAGATTGCTGTAATTATATTATTATATTGTTTTGTCTATGAAATTGTAAGCTTCAGCGATAATAAAGAAATTACGAGATATTGTAGTATATGTGGGAAAGAGAAGGCAGTATTATGTTGTCTCTACCACACACAGCTGGCGTCATGTGAGCTTTAAACTGTGAACGGCGAGTGAGAAAAATGGTGTGTTTGAATGTCGATAATTAGGGAAGACATATAGTATTTTAGGGGGTGCGTGTGTGCGTTCAGAGATAAGGTCTAGGACCTGCTTCGTTGATAATCTAGGAGCTTGTAATTAAACAGTCGACAGACAGAATAGAAGTTTTTTTTATTTGTAGACATGTTACGGCTTTATATACAATGTTACACGTGTCGCGTACACGCGCTGCTGCAGATACAAACGGCTTGAAGGTTGCGCAACTACATTCCAAATGTTACACGTGCAGTGCGATAAGAATTCTAGGAAGTTGCAAGGACTAAAGGTGAAGAAATTTACTGCTACAAGTACATATATAATATATATCTTAGATATCATTTATATATATATATATATTCTTTATTGCACTTTTAAATACAGTAAACTTAAATATATACACTTATAGTGAGCAAAGGTGGACTTATCTCTAAAAGAGATCTCTACCAGTCAACCCAACAGTGGGGCATAGCTATTAGTGAGTGGGTACACATGTGCAATTAACAATATTAGTATGAAATATCCAAAAGTTGAGAAAAAAAATCTCTATTCAGCTTAAATATTATTATCGACGACCTCGGTGGTCTAGCGATCTAGCACACAGCTTTACGTCGGATGATCGCGGGTTCGATTCCTTGCACGGCACAAACATTCATGAGTATGATTATTTGTATCGGTCTGGGTGTTTTCTATGTAAATTATGTATGTATTTACGAAAAAAAATTATCTATGTATTTGTATCAGTTATCTAGTACCCATAACACAAGCTTTAGCTAGCTTAACTTGGGTCTAGATGGCGCTGTGTGAATTGTCCTGAGATTATTAATATTATCTAAATGTACATTAAACGCACTTATTTGAAATAAACTAAAACTCAATGCTTTCATTTTTTTTGCACAAGTACGAATACTAGAGTGATATTCGCGGGTTTTCTCGTATTATACATTTTTTCTCGGAGTCTCTGTTCATAGACCAATATGGCACGGCACTATTTTTTTGTTTTTTTTTTATTCCTGGATAATTCACACAGTGTCATCTAGTCCCAAGCTAAGCACAGCTTGTTTTGAGTACTAGACAACTGATCAATGTACTTTATGTACCTTCTTATATGATTATTTAATTGAATTAGTGCTAATCGGTAGTTTATATTCACACACTTAAACTTATATTGTAAAGTAAGAAAAAAAATATGTAAAAGAGCAACACACAAGTTTCTCGCTCGTTCTTCTTGTGATGAGGCTTTCCGAATGAGCGGTAGATTAAAAAAATGTGACGACTATTCAAAAGTGCTTCAATGTAAGTTTACTTGAATAAATGATTTTCTATTCTGTTCTATTCTATTCTTACGCAAGATGAAAAAAATCAGACCTACGCAAACAAAGAACAAAGATACCTATGAGTAAAATATTATTTGTACACTGCGAGGAATCAAACCCGGGACTATTAGAAGTAAAGCGCTGTGCTAATCCGCTAGACCATCGAGGCTGTTAACGTTATTTAATGATATATGTTGTCCACAGCTGGTGTTCGCACAGTGGACGTGCAGGCTGTCGAGGGTATGGTAGCGCAGTTCCCCTGCGACCTGGGCACCGCCGCTAACGATAAGGTCTACATGGTGTTCTGGTTCAGGGATGATGCCGGTATACCGCTTTACAGGTATGTAATTTTTTTTATTTTACAGAACTTTTAGCTGGTAACAAATGATTTCATTTTTATTATGAAATCGCTAATATTAAGGAAGGAAGTGCAACTTTGTACGCGAATATTTAAAATTGTACATACAAATACATTAAATCAATAAAAAAACATTACACTACCATACATTTGACACATGTGTATGTGGGTCATATACATCCTTTTGTTTATTGTTAATATTCTATATGTATCCTATTTATATATTTATTCTATATGTATCCTGTGACAAATTCACCAGGAATTTAACACGATGGTTTCCAGGGGGAACCGCGTGGAGGTCGACCTGACATGGTACATTGCTAGCAACGGGGTTATCAATCCACATTACTAACAATCCCCTTCCTAGCACGCATATTGATGTACGCAGCTTCTAAGATGCCGAAAGACGTTGTTAATTTCCAAGTTGATTATGACTAAATTCACCTTTATATTCCTCAGCTTTAATTACATTTCATTTCTCTAATTACTTATGTCTTATGGCTTAAAACTTTTCTAGATTAATTATCTGGATAACGATGAAAACCACCTATTGGACACAGTCATCTAGATACATCAAAATAATAATTGCATTTAATAATGTCTAGTAAGACAAATTCAATATTGTCTACTACTCACTGCTGTATCTAAACTGTGTCACCCCACCTTACATTTTCCTATTATTATTTAGTATATAAGATCATTATTTCTATGTACATATTGTCAGTATATCATCATCTGTAATATACATCCTCTCGACCAATAACATCAATTATTCATAACTCGACACCACCCATCAAACAATTTTAAACCAAATGGACCGAATTAGATAAACTAAATTAGTGCTGGATGGTAGTTTGTATTCACACGTTTCGACTTGTAAAATGTGAATTACAAAGATTATTTAAAAGAGCAACACAGTAGTTGCTCGCTCGTTCTTGTGATGAGACAGCGTTCCGAATGAGGGGTAGATTGAAAAAAAATATTATGATTAGTCAAAAGTGATTAAATTAAGTTTATTTGAATAAATTATTTCTATTCTATTCTATAGTATTCTAACGGCTAGCCCTGGTTTCTATTGTGTCCATCAGCCAATATTTTTTTTGGTTATCGAATATATGTAGATAGAGATTCTATTTCGAAGAAAAAAGTAAAAATAGTATTTTTCGGACAAGAAATAGAAATAATCTTTACTGAAAAAAACTCAATTTAACAAGCACATTTGAATATAGTTATATTTTTTAATATGCCACTCATTCGGGACGCAGACTCATCACAAGAAGAATTAGCGAGAAACTTGCGTGTTGCTCTTTTGAAATCTTCTAAATAAATTCACGTAAACAAGGATTAGGCGCGCGACAATCAATATAACCGCTACGCTTTCAAGCTTTGAGCAATGAGAAAATATTGTCAGTGCTATGAATTTTGAGTAATACTTTTATTTCCAAAAAAAATTAATTACATAAACATGAAAAAAATAAATGCAATTATTTTGCTTCGCTTACATACATTCGATATTTTACTTTTGTTATCTTTGAATGTATAGGATTACAGCGGTGATTTTAAGTGTATTTTAATTTAATTTAATATTAATTATTGATATCATTTGTATTTTATTTTTGTGTGTGTGTAATTTGTGTCTGTACGTACTAACGTTAGTTATAAGAAATCTGTAATACTAACAAAATGGGCAAGTAAGCCTGACCTGATAAATTATTGTTATATTAGCAGTGGTCCTGATTTCGCCCAGCTTGAATTTTTCAATACAGCAGATCTACAAAATGTTGCTTTTATCACTTGCTTCTTCTCTAATAACATTATATTGATATTTTATTTACAGAGTATCTGTATATACTACAGATACATTAAAGATGTTTGTAATAAATAAAATAATGGCTCTGTATTAAATTTAAAAGTACTTTAAAATTTATACTTTTTTTTTAATACTATAATCATAATTAAATACAAACAATTACAAAAAAGAATCATTGTAATCCAACGCGGCACATCGAGGCAGCGTACCCAAGATACTGGCAGCGTTTCCTCTTTGAATGGCCATACTTAGCCTTTGGGCAAAGTAGATACCAGCTCTCGGGTCACAGGTAACCTCGATAAGCCACGCTTTAAAATTAGGTTTTATTCATATATGTAATATATTTATAATAATGATCATATCTAGTCTATGCTATTCCGCAGTTTAGTAGTCTATATCCACACGAAATCATAAATATGTAAAGTTTTATCATTACATAGTATAAAACAAAGTCGCTCTCGCTGTCCGTCCCTATGTATGCTTAAATCTTTAAAACTACGCAACGGATTTTGATGCGGTTCTTTAAATAGATAGAGTGATTCAAGAGGAAGGTTTATATACATGTATACTCGTGCGAATCCGGGCGAGTAGCTAGTAATATGTACTTAAAAGAGATACAGACAAGTTCTTAAATTTTCTTCTTGACTATATCTGCATTCCGAATGGGCGGTAGTTAGATAAAATAATCACTATTCAAACGTCTTAGTGCTTAAATAACTTCATTAGAATAAAGACAATTTTACTATCCATTTCAATTTATCTAAATATATATAACTCAAAGGTGACTGACTGACTGACATAGTGATCTATCAACGCACAGCCCAAACAACTGGACGGATCGGGCTGAAATTTAAGAAAGGATTTTGATTAATTCTACTCCCAAGGGGATAAAATAGGGGATGAAAGTTTGTATGAAACTATGTCAATTTTAAACCGATCGGGCTGAGACTTTGCATACATAAAGCTACTATGACGTAAGCATCCCCTAAGAAAGGATTTTGATAAATAAATCTAGGAGGATAAATTAACGCGAGCGAAGCCGCGGGCAAAAGATAGTTTGATAATATAAGTAAATAATATTAGTTGACAAGCAGTTTAAATATTTCTGTGATCATTGAATATGGGTTGAGAGCTTGCAGGCTTGATTCGGTGAGAACTTGTAGCGATAATTGCCGCGCCGCCACCAAGTATAAGTTTTCACACAACGTGCAAGTTTCTGCAAACGTGAAGCTGTCGAGAGGCGCGGAGGCGTCAGCGGAAGCGATTAAATAGACTGTAATGAAAAAAAAATCAAGACTGATAAAAATTATACCTGTTGCGGGTAATACTATGTTGTCGGTTGAGACGATGTATATTAAAGATTATAATATACTGACAAAATGTACATAAAAATATTGAATTATTTATCTTATATATTAAATGACAATAGGAAAATGTAAGATGGGCCGACACAGTTTAACCACTGCAGTGCTTAGTAGACAATATTTAATTTGTCTTACTAGCCATTACTAAATGCAATTATTGTTTATGTATCTAACTGTAACTATAACTGTGTGCCATACTACCTTTATTGGAAGGATAAGATTTGTATTAATTTGTATGGCTTTTTGTATTCATATATGTAGATTATATAAATATACATGTACACCTATATAGTATTAGATCCTATCGATTGTCTAGTATCCACAGAAAATGGCTAATATTAAAATGGTTTTGGTAGATTTTTTTCATAATATTTCCCCCCGTCTGAGTATATTTAGGTAATAAAAGCTAGATAACAATATGTAGCGGTAAATTCAATACTAAATTATTTTCTATATGGATACTTAAATAAAAAGTTAAAATAAAATCAAGTAATAAAAATAAGTTAATAAAAGCAAATACAAATTTTTGAATAGCAAGTCCCATAAAAGAGAATACACGTGTCGATTGTATAGCACACTTACACGAGTTGATTATGTAAGAGCAACACAATGCGACGAGGCTTAGCTGGCGCGACAAAACTCCATATCTGAAGAAACAAGAGCGTTTGTAGCGCAATAATTAATTCATGGCTGGGTGCGAGCGGCAGGCGCGACACTCCGCGTCGCCGCCCGCCGCCCGCCGCCCGCTCCGCCCCTCACCAAATTACTGCCCGAACTCTAATGTGTTTTCATTACACAACTTGAAGGCACACATCAAATTATTTTTGAAAGGGACATCCGTGCGGATACTTCTTCAAATCAAAGCTCATTTCAACAACATTCTTCGCTTCAATACGTGACAAAGTTACGAGCGTACGCAAACGACGCACAAGTTAAATACTTGTATCCGAACTTTTCAAAAGGGTGATTTCAAAGTCAGATTAGCACCTAAAAATTTGAAAGGCACGATTGCAGTTCCCACTTTTAATTTATACGAGACGGAAATATTTGACTTAACGAGTTCATTGTCTGACTTCGCGATTTCATATTTCCTTATTTTAAAAAGTTTAAAAGTTACTCCCAGAGGAATTAAGCGGTGCTGCGGCGTGGCGACAACTTCTGTTCATTATAACCCGTGTATTTGTTTAAATAAGGTGCACAATAAGGGCCGCAGTCCGCCACGGGTAACTTTTCGAATTAATTAGGAAGGAGGCCGAGCCGCGTCGCCACCTTCAGAGAATCGCAGCTAACTAACTCCTATCTTCCTCACATCTACAAAAGGTCCGGCAAAACTTTAATACGCTTTAAAAGTTCCCGAATATTTCACTGTTTTAGCCACTTAAGACAAATTGCTTCTCCCGTTTTAGGGTTTTTTCTCGGGGCGAACTCGTTCACGGTGAGGCCGTAATTTCACCGTTCGTTGGCTCATTTCGGGGGCAAAATTCGTGTTTTTCATTGGGTCGCCGGTGCCTTGTGTCGGCTAACCGAGTTGCAGCAAACGAGCTCGCCGACACTCTTTGAAACGTATAAAGCGCTCTCGAAACTTCTCGGCTACGTTTCCAGCCAGCACGTAGGGGTCGTGGCGCGCGAATGCTTTCAGGATAATGAACGAGCGTCCCCCTGCACGTTACTTTCTCTCTAATGAACGGTATAAAGTTTTTTAAAACTACGAAAGGCTTGGTTAAACCGGTTTGCTCTAACTGCGTCTTGCCACTATGACGCTGCTCCGGTGACAAATCTTTTTACTTCTGTTCTGCGTTAGCTTGATT